CTTAACGACTGAGCCACCCAGGCGCCCCTCTACTGTTTCAGTTTACATCCATATAATTCAGTATGTCTCTAAAAAAATTCAGACCTTGTCATTTTCATACTTAACAAAATTAGTAATTCCTTATTACATCTAATAACTAATCCATAATCAGTTTTCTTAATTGTTTAAAAATGTCTTTTTATAGTTCTTTTTTGTTTTTGAGAGAGAGCAAGCCAGAGCATGAGCAGGGAGGGGCAGAAGGAGAGGAAGAGAGAGAATCTTAAGCAGATTCAAGTGTGGAGCCCCACAAAGGGCTGGATCTCACAACCCTGAGACACTTAACTGACAGAGCCACCCCACCTAGGCACCCCTCCTATATTTTCTTTATATTGGAGCTTCTTAGATTATTTTGTAATTGTCTGAAATGTGTTGTCTAGGAGATTTCTTAGGAAAGAGGATTTCCTGAGTTTCTGTATGTTTCTAATTGTGACATTTATATTGAAGGGCAGTTTGGCTAAATATAAAGTCCTTAGCCTGTATTTTCTCTCTATATTTTGATGTTGCATAAAATGTTGGTGAGAATTCTGATGACAATACGATTTCTCTCCCATATAAGTGAATTGGGAATTTTTGCCTCCATAACTAAAGGGTATTTTTCCTTATCTTGAAAATCTAGTAGTTTTATTGGGGTATGTCTTATGATTGCCCTGTAACTTCATTTTCTTCTATTTCAGAAAATTTTTCTTTAATTACAGTTTTAAATGCTTGCTTTGTTTTTCAGGGACTCCATTCTACCATCTATCTATTAGATCTCCTCTGCATGTATCTATGCCTGTGTATATGCCTATTATTTTCTCTGAAATCCTTTCTATCATACTTCTTCATTTCTTAATTTTTCATCATTTATTTCCCTTACCATGTTTTCCACAAGGTCTGTGGAACTTTGTGTTCTTTCTGGTTTTTAATTCTGAAATAGTTTTTCATTTCTAATTTTTTCCTGAAATCTATTGGTTCTTATCTCCTATCCATCTCTCTTCTTTAGTTCTTTTATCTGTCTCTGTCTCTGAGCTTGCCTATTTCTGATTTGTGCTATTTTTTCAAAACTTAGATTGTTTTCTAAATTATTTTAAGCCATTGTGAAATACTAGATTATGGTTTCTGATCTTAGAACATTTACTATTTGTTGAGCTTAGAATAATTTCTATGACACTAGTAAGCTAATAAAAATGTTGAGCCCATTAAAAGTAATCACTTTTTTATTTTTAAAATATGTATTATTTATTTTATAAGTAATACATAGTCATTATTTTAAAATGGCTAAAAGAAAAACCATTAAATCTCCCTGTAGTTAATCATCCTGGACCATAAGTTATTCATTTTATTTTTTCACACTTTACTCTGTGGGCATATGCATGTAAATTGAAATCATATTATGTATTAAAAATTGAGATCGTTATTATGTCTATTATAGTGATCACACTTTTTTCTCCTGGTGAAATATTAGGACTATCTTTTCATGTCAGTACAAATCTATATTGTATTTTTTTTTTTTTAAGATTTTATTTATTTATTTGAGAGAGAGAGAATGAGAGACAGAGAGCACGAGAGGGAAGAGGGCAGAGGGGGAAGCAG